CACAATCGCCCTACTAACTGAACACTCCGGATTGCAGCTACGATGAAACTTCGCGAGGCAACAAGTCAGACAAGCCCCGTGCCACCTGTCTGTCAACCAAGCACCCAAGGTCACGACCTCAGTGCCAATTAGCCTCAAAATAGACGCTTCACTGTGCGCTTTTGGCGCTAGCACGTGTATAGGGGAACCCAGCGCGACAAGCGTCAGACGGGAAAACGCCCCGCGCTGCGGCGGCTCGTAGTGAAATACCGCGCTGCTAACAACGTCTCTCCGAATTTCGGTAACTGCTCGATCGTATACGCTCAGTGCTCGCCGATGTAGCGATACCTGCCCGAGCACTAGAGCTAGCCTTTGGTTTCGTAATGGCACAACGCGGACACTCACTCACCAGATTAATGTGGAAGCCACGCAAGTCCGCTCGCCACTCGCGGCGCCCCGGAAAAACGGAGGCGCTGGGGATGGCGCGCTCCGCAGCTTTTTCCGGATGTCACGTGGCCCCACTGAGAGACCGTCGAATTTCCGTCGTCTGCTCGAGCAGTCGCAGCCCGCAGGCAACGCATGCAGTTGCCAGTATTATTCGCACCCGCACACGTGTCGGCGCGGGTGTGAAAACACACACACACACACACACACACACACACACACACACACACACACCACACACACACACACACACACACACACACACACACACACACACACACGCACACGCACACACACACACACAGCTAGTATACCGAAAAATGAAGGCATGAAGAAGCATTATTACGAAGGGATGTTGGCCAGGAATAAAAAGGAAAGCGTATCAAGTCATAATACGTGTTATGCAGAGTTGTATCAACGAGATTGCACTGTGTATATATATACGCGCAGATTAAGCGTTGTTAAGTGAGGTGTTTCTGATAACACTGCAGTGAAGCCAACTATCTCAAGAATTGAACAAATGCTTCCGAATGCTATACGAGTACATATATTATTCGAAATGTATTCCGCGCATTTATTCAGTGTGACGATCCGATCAAGCACGAAGTGAATCTATTTTGGCAACGATCTTTCACAAATAACTCGAGATGAAAAGGCTTAAAAATATGTGAGCTCAATGTAAACTACATTATTGACTCGCTGGATTGAAAACTTCCGACATGGCAATGCCTATACTTATTTTTCACTACTACTTATAGAAAAAAAAAAAAAGAAAGAGGTAGGCAAACTACATTCGACCTTGACATTTACAGAAGACTTGCAATGCACGTACAACTACGACTCAATGAAAATAGAGTGGTGTTTAGAACAAATGTTCGACGATTTTGGGTACTCGGTACTCTACTATGGGAGAGCGAAAAGCCGACCCCGGTGCACGCAAAGGAGGTGTGTGTTTAGAAAAAAGTGGGTAACGATTTAGAGTACTAGGCACTATACTATGGGAGAGCGTATAGCCATCCCATGGACGTACATTACATGGTCTTCGCCATGTTTAGAAAAAAAAAATATTGTCACAGACGTCAATAACACTCAACAGAACATTTCCCTCTTAGACATACTCTAACGATGATCTCAAAACCAACGTCATTTACATGAACATGGATATGAGATGCTTTTGAGAGACCAAAGGTCCACAAATATTGATTCCATCGAAACGAAGTGGCAGGAACAGAATATGTCGAATGTTAACCTTAAAGGCAATACCAGTATGCGCACCGTCTACTGCATTGCCATACCTGAAATTATCGAATGAATTCCCGCACTTGACGTCGACATTGTAGATGTCGTAGGGGCGTGTAAGCCTCTTAATTATGCCTGGCAATCATCGCTTTCTCTTCTTAGTACTACTTTAAAGGGAGTATATAGTAGGGTTTGTCGAGGTAGTAAGAACAAATCAATGTGCTCCCTCGGGGTTAAAATGGGTAAAACCGCTGCCTACTACGAAGTAATGTTAAGGCGTGATGTCCTTTAGCAGAGCTGTATGACCGTGGTGGTGTTTGTTCTGTCATGTTTGTTGTGTATTGTAATTTCACTCTTTTGCCCACTTGTTTGTCACGTCTAACTGGAAATAAAGGAAAAAGAGAAAAAACCCCGCCATTTTCATAGGCATGGAGCTGACGGGTTCGAATCTGTTAAATTCGTGTGTTCCTTTAACACGCGTTCTTTATTACTCACACACTTGGATTTCGTAATAACACAGCATAGCTAATAGCTGCTGCGTTCCATGCGACGCGAACAACCACTTCTCGTTAGCTTTCTCGCGAAGTACGTCCAATTAAGCTACAATTAACTGGTCTTTACCTTGGCACCTGAAAACTTCCTCAACTCCTTTCAAGATGATGATGATGAGGAGGATGTTTGTCGTCGTCCCCTTTGTATTTGGTGGGCACCTTGCGGTGTCCGTACCCGAACGATAGAATAAATGAATTATCACGAAATTACACACCAGAAAATTACAACAAGATGTTTTTTTGAGTTAAGCGCGCCATCTATTGCCCTAAAAAAGTACGAGTGGCGTGAAGTAACAACAAAAGCCACGAGATGGTGCAAGCATCTCTTGGTATAAAGCATGTATAAAGGTTCAGCGGGGAGTTGCGAAGCGGATAATTCAAAAGCACACCCCCGTATGGTGTAACGGTTTGGGAAAAAATCAAGCTGTTCATTTCCTCTGGTGTGATTACTCGTTTACCGATATATGCCGTCATGACCAATGGGTGTTATTGAAAAAAAAAAAGCGCCAGCAGCACGCCTCGGCGATTTGGATGATAGGTCTTTCGATGTACCACAGAAATGAGAAAACCTTAATTTGCAAGATAAATTGGGCTAAGCGACGTCTCAAGTAATAATTCTGCCTATATTTCACGTCATCAAAAAAAAAAAGGCACAGGCCATTCACTCAAGGTTAGTTACAGGGCATCTAAAACCTCTATCTCTAAATACATTTTCTTTATTAAGAAAATAAGTACTATATACGGGCAGTCTCTGTTGTCTCGGCAGTCTGACTACCAACCGTTTGTATATTATCGTCGCCACGCCCCGTTACGAACCAGTTAAGAAGGTAATCATGTAGAGTAAAATAAATAGTTGTTAGTTTCCACAACGTGTGGAACAAAATGTTGGTATACGATAAGCTTAAAGTTTTGAATTTGTTGCATGTATTGTGGTGCACATGATTTTCCAGGTTGGGCCATCCCAACGCGGCATATTCAACAAACGAAGCTTTTTGAGGTCGAGGTTTTTCCAGGACGTTCCGCGTAACGCGGCTCATAGCTCGTAGCGGTTATGTGCCATATAGAAATTGCGCAAACTCGACTACTCGCCTCCGGTCCTCTAAAAAAAAAACAAACAAAAACGAAATGCTGTCTACAACTAGCCCAGCGGACATGTGTCACAGATATTGCACAAGACCAGGACTTAAAGTAATCGATTGATATGTGGAGTTTAACGTTCCAAAACCGCCGTATGATTATGAGAGACACCGTAGTGGAGTGCTCCGGAAATTTTGATCCCCTGGGGTTCTTCAACGTGCACCCAAATCTGAGCACACGGGCCTACAACATTTCCGCCTCCATCGGAAATGTAGCCGCCGCAGCCGGGATTCGATCCCGCGACCTGCGGGTCAGTAGCCGAGTACCTTAGCCGCTAGACCACCGCAGCGGGGCCTAAAAGTAAACAGGGGCTCAGAGATGCCCAGCCTCTTCAATTTTTTGAGGAGGAGATCAGTATCACATCGGCACGTTAACAGTAGCATTGCAGGGCCCATTCGACAAGGGCTGTAGTTCACTTTTCTTTGTCAGTAGTGCCTTGAGCGGGAAGGTTATAATGCTGCGATCTTTCGAATAATGATTTAATCGCGGTTATTCAGTCGCTGTGAGCAAAACAGAAAAACAGAAAACAAAGAGAAATATAGGAAAACACTGGGCACCGTGGGTCACCGTTCGACTAATGCCTGTGTCATGCGGCCAAGTTAGGCGCCCTTAACTTCGATTCGGAATATTTAGTTGTCTCGTTAGGATACGCGATGATAGACGAAAAAAAAAATAGAGCGTTGCAAAACCTCACAATATTACTTCTGACCGGCAGGCACACTGCTTTACAAATACAGACCTTCCATTAATTCCTCTTCCATCTCAGCCCCTAAACTCCCTCCATGTCGCAAAAAAAAAAAAAATGAAAATGGCACCATCTCCCACTAAAGGAAACCGTGAGTAGCATTCCAAGCAGCACATGAGTCGTCTTGAAGCTCTGTTCTTGACGGGCACCTTGGCCGACGTTAACGCGTCATCACAAGTGGAGCACACCATGAATTAACTCTAGCTTTTGTTGTCTTTACTCGGAACACGCCACGTGGGTTCACCGCCACGACATGAGGAAACACGTGGGTTCATCGCGAGTCTGCAGAGTCTTGTTCCCAGACGCCATCAGAGGACTATTGCTGAGAAAGAGTAAGGGGGAACAGCCTCAGCCTCTTACCCAGCCCCTGACACAGGCCTCAACGCACTAGCACGTTCTGGCAGTGCAATCGGACCAGCTGTTGCGCATGCCCAGTAAAGGTGGTCACGCCGCACACCACCGGATGAAACTCTGCCATAAGCTGCTTCTAAAATGTTCTCCGGCAGAGTACTCGAATGAATTTCAAAGGGACAGTGACAATGACACCATTAAATTGCCTTGCACGAGAGCTGGCCCGTCACTTCATTAAAAAAAAATAATGCGTGCGATACCGATGGCTCTATTGTTTTCGGTCCAGACTTTTAAGTACGACTATATACGCGTGCAAGCGAAGTATGTCTTTAGCAAGTATGATATCATCTGCGCGGCTCCAGCCTTTTTCTATTTCTATAAATTGAAGCCACGCAGTCCATACGATAATCATTGAGCACAATGTGTCGCCGAGTAATATGTTCTTTAAATACCTCAACGTTCAAAAGCCTCAGACGTACACAAGCGACGGCTTCTTATTAAGTACCCACTCGTATACCATTCGCAGGCGAGTAAATAGCGAGCTGAACGAGTGGCAGGTCACCGATGGTCTGTGCATTCACAGCTTGGATATCATGGCTTCTAGTACTTCAACGATGTGCTCGTAGAGGACAATGATGAGCGCATGCCCCGTGCCGAGACGCAACATCTTCGGCGCCAGGCCCTTGTACAAGGCGAGGAAGCCTTCCTCGCGGTAGATGAGCTTGAAGCTCTGCCAGCACGTCTTGTACTTCGTCTCACCCGGCACGGGCTGCAGTCCCTGTATGCGGCTCTTCACCACGTCCCAAGGGATGTTGAGCAATGTGCTGACGCAGCCGCTGAACAGGCCGGTACCAACCTGCGCGTCGTAACGCTCTCTTGTTAGGTTGCGTGTTAAATTAAATTGAGCTACGGGGAGGTGATGTAAAACAGAGGTGTGTACACCCCTGACGGACAAGGCATCTCTGAAGTTAAAAAAAAAAAAGTTCGGAGTGTTCAAATTCATATTATTTGAGCTCTCAAGTCCACTCAAATGGGCTTGTGGAGGTCAACATCCTGTCAATCCGTATGCCATGTTGACCCGTCAGATGTGAATACCACCAGGCATAAGAACATTAAGCTCTTGCCTAACGCTTGAATGATATACGTTACCGGTGAACAAAACTTTAATACGACACTGACAGATTGTGCTTCCAATTTTAACAAAAGCGTCGAGGCCGTCAAGGTAGTGAGCTATTGTAAAGGTAGCATAGAGGTAGTGTTGTCCCTACAGTCCTGCTGCGATATTCTGCACAGTCAAAACTGAGACAGGTAAATTCACAAAACCAGTCATTACTAACGCCGAAATGAGATGCTACACAGTTTTAAGACTTTTTCTCGCTACTTAAACCATAAAGAAGAACATTCCTCTGAGTACTATAGCTGATGCTGTAGCGATAAAAGGCAGACCGAATTCTGGAACCACCCAACTGGGTGCGGCTTAACAGCGAGATGCAGCGTGAGTTGCTGTTGCTATGAGCTTCATGCACTGGGCGAGTTTCATTGGGCCCTCGCGTATTGATCGGCATTTTGCCTCTACTAAGACCGCCATCGTTACTCGGTAGCTAAGTTTTCGCACTGCTAAGCCCGAGAATGCGGGCTCCGTTGAAAAACGTGTATGCTATCACTCCTTCCCGGCAACGGTGCACATGGCCGCATTGCTTTACAGGCGCTATGCGGAAACACCCGTCACAAGGGTTTGGGATCAGGTTACATAAAATATGAGTGAGTGGCCCACTTCCGCGTACCACATGGCTATCCCACGGTTTCGACACTCATAATTTCAGAACTTAATTTGAATATTCGTTTATTATAAGCCCAACTATCATGACAGTAGCATAATGTCTGTGACAATTACATTTAACTTCAAGCACCAGCTTTGATTGCGAGCCGTGGAGGCCTTTTGCTGACGACAAAGGAATGTAGGAAAGTTCACGCACACTATTATATGCAAAGTGCAAAATAGTCCCATTTATATGCATATACAAGTACTTTGCCGCGAGCTTTCTCTCATGTTCCTAATGTTGTTTTGGCGTGCCAAAATTTCGAGGAAACGGTTACATCGTGTTCCTTTCACGATGTTCAACAACGGTTCAAGCTCCGGGCGAGCTTTTTATACAGTGCCCAATAGTCGACAACACTGTACCTTGTAGAGGTTGTGCTGATGCCGGTTCTTAAACTCCGGCGCAGCTTCCTTGAGCTTGGCGTAGATGGTGAAGTAAAACATAACGAAGACGCCGTGCCGAAAAATGTTCGAAGTGAGGCCCAAGCAGAGCCCTTCCCGGCCGAAGCCGTGCTTGCGATAGATTTGACGCGCCACCGAGTAGGCGCTGGGCTGCGCCGCCAGCAGAGTTCGATCAGTCTGCAACCGGACCTGCGAATCATTTCAGCCGCTGCAGTGAATTAGCAGTGTGCAGAATGCGAGAGATGACGACATCTGTTAAACTATACTTCACTAGCAGTGGTTCAGTGCCAGTATATGTAGGGTGAGTATATGTAGGGTGACTCCCGATCACGGTGGTCACAATGCAGTCGGAGCTCGTCATAACGAAGTTCCATCGAGAGCGTAAGTGATGTCGTTATATCAGATATTCGTTGCATACGATAGAGATTGAAATTGGCTCCAGATTGCGCGCAAAATAAAAGAAACTTGACACAAAATCGTATTATTCTGGGCTTCAAACCAACCGTAAACAAGGTAATCAAACTAACCAAGATGCTTGCAAATGGCAACGTGGGTGAGAATCAGCCTACAGATCGAATCCCACGAACACAGCAGTAATAATATCTTGTATTTCACGTACCAAAACAACTACCTCACAATGAGGCACGCCGAAGTGGAGGGCTCTGACCCTGCACTGACCTCGCACAATACACGAGCTTCTACCATTTCGCCTTGATTGAAACGCCACCGCGGCGACCGGGATCGAAGCCGCGAACCGGCTGCTCACCCAGTGATGGGGTTAGCAGCCGAGTAACATAACCGTAAGCATTTCAACACGGTTCCACATATCTGATAACCATTCCGCCAGCTTGCGGGTCTCTACAAAACTCATTTTCAGTACTGCACCGTCGTCTAAATTACTGCTCGATGATACGCTTCCATATGCTTCATCGTAAACCTGATTCGTTTCCTGGGCGCGCCACCAGGCACAAAATAGTTAACATAAGTATTTACACATGTGCACTCCCATCAAGGCCAAGAGAAGTCTATGGAAGCAGACGAGAGAGAGAGAGAGAGAGAGAGAGAGAGAGAGAGAGAGAGAGAGAGAGAGAGAGACCCAATGTTAACGTCGTCCGTGCGCAGTGAAAGGTGCAGTTCTAAATCCTGCGCTAAACGCAGCTTCACTATATAGTTCGAGCCCTGACGAAGTGCGTAGCACGGGCACCCAGCGATTACCGTTCGTAGACTGCCCGCTACACCGTTTACCAAACTGTGGATGGCGTCTATATGTTTGAAGTAATCATATACAGGTATTTCCCAGAACTATAGTGCAGCCTTCTTAAGGATATTCGAAAAACTCCCGTGTACGACATGAGCCCGACTTTTTGCTGCGCTTTATCGACTTCCTGCTTGTTACGACAGTTGAGATGCGTGTCTTCTGCAGCGAGTTCACTCAAGCTGTTGATGTAGAACCGGTGGGAGTCGTTATCGCGCACTTGGCGAGGCGGTAGCGCCCACATCTTGAACGCAGCAGGTGTAGACTGCATGTTTTCGAAGCGTTTTCAGCAATTTTAAGTTAATTATTGAGACTACTTTTTCTGTTATGTAAAAATTATTTCAAAGCTTATCCCGCAATTTTTACTTGGTTTTGACTATTGCATGCTAGCATTGTTTTAGTGCTGTAATGACCACACAATTTTGAGCGTGATCATGCTGTACGCGAGGTCCATGATGGACGACAATTCGGTTCCTCTGAAGAGTTACGCATTTCAAACGCGTCGAGCTAGAACATATAGGCACATTGTATGTCCAACATTCGCCACTATATATACTATACCTGACGCCGTCCAAATATACCTATACAGCACGTGCGCGTAGGTGAATACGGGAAGACGAGAAACGGTGGCGCGCGTGCGGCGCATCGGAACCCACTGCACGTCCACGAAGAACGCGCTCACCTTCACAACCTCGAAAGGATTGACGGCGATTCCCTCGATGGCGCCCGCCAGGAAACCCGCGATCAGGTTGGTCGGCACCAGCGACAGGTGGGGCGAGACGACGCGCTTGGTCTGCTCGTAGCAGACGAACCGCAGCGCCATCTTTGGAGTCTCCACCACGAGCACGGGCAGGACGCCCTTGTAGACGGACAGCACGCCCTCGGCCCTGGTCATGCGCCGGAAGCAGTCGGCGATCGACTTGTACCGGTTCGGGTCGTCGGCCGACTGCATCTGCAGCCGCGTCTTGACCACGTCCAGAGGGTGGTTGACGCACACCTCGATGAAACCCGCCACGGCGCCCGACGAGAACTGCACGGCGGCCTTGTGGTGGTGGGGCAGCCGCTTCGCCTCTTCGGACGACCGGGACATCTTGAAGTCGTACTGCTACCGCACACCTCGTAATCGACGGCGCTGGACTGTTCCTTCAGCGGCTACGGCAAAGCGACCACTTGGAATCCGCGGGCCACTGAGATGCACGCCAGTAAGGATGTCCTTGATGAACCAGCACATCGTCCCCTGGAGCTAGACGGAGGAGAAAAAAAAAGGCACTGGCGAACGGCATGCTATGTACAGAGCTTGGTGCCGAAAGTGCCACAAGCCTATGTAAGAAAATACGTATGTTTGACCTTGTTAGCATGTAGGAAAGCTTGGCGCCTTCATAGACTGCTTCCAGCCTTCTGCTTTCAGACCTTCGCATTACAGAAGTACTAAAAGTAAGCAATAAAGATTTAAAACATTGTATAGCACAATAAAGAGTCAAATCTGGCACTTCCTTTTCTGTATGCGAGTAAAATAAGGCACTGGCGTGAACATGCGACTCTCACACTTGCATACACACACGTTAAATTGCGAAAGTGCACAACAGTCGGAAAACATGTTTAGAGCTTCTGAACGGGTCACAAGGTAGGCCGCAACAGAGAAGTGATACGGAATGAACGAAAGTAATGTGCTTTTCAACCCTAAACGTGTGGCATGTGCCTGACGCTATCGCGCTTTCTGCAAACGTTATAAAAAACGCGATAAGCTTTCTTTTGTAGATTTATTGTAGGTCGTGAGGTTTTCCTCGCACAACTGATAATTTACTGCTTCATGAGCTTTACTGCAGTTCCCGTGACCGACCCCACTTCATCATCCCTCCAGCCTGCATATCTCATCGCACCGGACGCGCTTCACAAGTCATCGGGAAGCGCAGCCGCGCAGCCACACCACGACATCCTCTGCCTCCTTCTTTGCACGTGGATTATCCGAATGGAATTAATTCCCGCAGCGCTGATTGTGTGGACCTGCAAAAATAACGCAGCCATTCCTCCTCTCCCAAACCCTAAACGATAGGGCTAGGAGGTGGCCCTGCTCGGATGCTCGAACCTTCAGGCCTAGCAGGCCCTGGTCCAAAGAGCCAGGAATGCGGCTTCAACCAATGGTGTACCGAAATAGTGACTCCACCTATAGTCTGTAGGGACCTCTAAACAAGTCCTACACTTTTACTTTGTAATTAAATGTTCTTCACTGTCCTTGCCAGTATTTGCCAGACATAATTTCTTCATAGTAAAGTAAATTACTTGTCCGACAATTTTGCATCCCGGCCATGGCAGCCGTTTTTTCGATGAAGGTGAAAAGGCTTTATACTTGTGTGCTGAGATTTAGGTACACGTTAGAAGATCCCAGGTGGTCAAAATTACAGAAAACCACTAAGACAGCGACCATCGAAATCATATCAAGGTTATGGGACGTTCAACTCTAGCAATTATCACTATCACTATTATTATGTATAGCAATTGACATATGTCGTTACATTCATATTATTTATGAGCACCCACACCTTATGTAAAATTCCCCGAAGGATTCCTTAAAAAGACATACATTTATGAAATGAACGAAGACCACTGAAAACGGTGAACTATTCCAACATGTTACTCACCCTGCAATCTTTTAGAGTGGAGCAAAAGAGACATTTGAGTTAGACTTAGATGTCTTAGACTAGCTTAGATATCTTAGAATATTGACGATACCAAATAGCCCAACTCCATGCGTTAATTGAGATATCTTAGAACAAGTCTTTTTTATAGGTGACCTCGCAAACGTTTGATATTCATCGGGTGACCAGGAGCAAGAGCAAAAAATCTGATATATATATATGGAAAAATACAAGTTGTAAAGCTAACCAGGATCTAATTTGGCAGAACAGTGATCACAAGAAACCACGTGTCAAGTTATTTTTCTCGACAAGCATAGGAGGAAATCTACAAATAGTCGAAACTTATATCCGCATAAAAATTACCGGTCATTTAATCACGATGCAATGAGAAACAAGAAAATATATATATGGCAACGTTACCCACTCCGACGTTCTGCACTTGTTTACTTGCACGGCAGTATTTTTTTTTGTTTTTTTTTTGTCTCTACAGCAACTCGCAGAGCTACTATGCACAACACGAAAGCACATTTACAGGTGCGAATTTGGTGACATGGCCTCAGAAGGAAATGTCAGGCCGTGCACCTGGTGGAATGGACGAAGGTGGCTTGTAAATGGTGAGAGTAATCTTCTGCCTCCACTCGTATGCGGGCGCTAGTTCTCGTGGGCAAGTGCGGATGTGCCAGATCTCGCTTCCTAGACAGACAACCTTGGAGTCTGAAGCCGCTGATAAGAACCCCTTATCACGACTACACGTATTCCACGCACAAAGCCTCAGTCTCACGTGCCGTCTACGATGAAGTGACTTGAAGCATTTTTTTTGTGGCAAGATAAGGCTGATTAAACGTCATTGTGTTTTTCTTGGGTCATTTGCCTATTGAATACTCATTCTTTTTTCTGACATGTGGGGTTTAGCGTCCCAAAACGCCCCGCCGCGGCGGTCCAGTGGCAAAGGTACTTGGTTGCTGATCCGCAGGTCGCGAGATCGAATCCTGGCTGCGACAGCTGCATTTTCGATGGAGGCGAAACTGCTGTGGGCCCGTGTGCTCATTTGGGTGCACGGTAAAGGACACAAGGTGGTCGGAATTTCCGGAGCCCTCCACTCCAGTGTCTCTCATCATCATATGGAGGTTTTGGGACGTTAAAACCCACTTATAAATCAATCAATTCGCGTCTCAAAACAACGTATGATTACGAGACGCCGTAGTGGAGGGCTCCTGAGCTTTCGACCACCTGGGGTTCTTTAACATTCACCCAAATCTGAGCACACGGGCCTGCAGCATTGTGGCCTCCATCGAAAATGCAGCCGCCGCAGCTTAGATTCAATCCCGTGACCTGCGAGTAAGCAGCCGACTACCTTAACCACTAAACCACTGCCGCGGTGCTTTTTTTTTTTTTTCATTCTACAAGCGTGGTTATTGGAGCATGCACAGTGATTTCTGCGAAAATATTTGATAGAAAAGCGAGTTCTCAAAAAAATTTTCTAAAAATATCAAACACGTAACAGGAATTAGTGGCCATAAAACAGCACGTTTTGATCACCTGCGCAACGCCTCGGAATTGCGGAACAGAGGAACGTGTCTGCGTATAATAAAATGGTAGCGTGAATCCGTGCCTTAATCTTCAATGTAGGTTTTATCTATCGGCTAAGCTTTTTTTTTAATTGCACAGAGAGATAGCTAGCAACGTTACGTCACTGCGTGAGGTCTGCGCCACTGACTGATAAACTCTATGCGACTTCAATTGACAGTGCGATCCCGTCTCAGCGTATCAGCTTAAATGACGCTAAATCAAAAACAACTTATACTATACTCTTAGGAGTCGGTCTGAAACACTGGTGGAGAAAAATTCAAATCACCGCAACAACTCTTTGTCATTCTTATATAGTTCTGTTGTTGTTGTTGTTTAACGTGAGCTCTTTTTTTTTTTGCTTGTTACGGTGGCGTATAGCAGCTAAAGTATAGCTGCTGCTGAGCTCAAGTACGCGGGCTCGATTGCCGGTCATAGAGGTCTTGTTTTGACGGGGACGAAATACCAGAACCCCCGTGTAACGTGCACGTTGAAGACCTTCAGGTGGTCAAAGTTAATCTGTATTTCCCCACTAAGGCATACCTCATCGCTATGTTGTTCCGGCACGTAAAACACAAGAAATTAATTTTAAAAAAGCCAATGTGATGAAGGAAATGTAAATGTTTTTCAGGTGGAGGTGACGTGTTTGTTGAATTTATCCAAACTGCACTAAGTGACGATATTTTTGACGACGACCTGTGTGAGTGAACGCATGGAGATATTCATATTCAATAAACTATCAATGAAATTCACTATGTCATCACCACCTTACCACCGCTTATTCAATCAAGTAAGCGAGCTCTTCGAAGGTATGTCAATGTCAACAATGTCAAGGCCAACGGAACAGTGCCATCGCGTATTGCACATGTCTCGAAACAAGACTTTTTTTCTTCTTTTTACTGCTTTCGCTTAGTATACGGCGTATACTTAAGGGAAGCTACCTTAAGTAGGAAAACGGCACCGTATCCAGCGTATTTCTTTTTCTGCACTAACGGAAACGTGTCGGCGATGATGTATTGCACTTCGTCGCTGCAGGTCCAGCTTTAGGGGAAAAAAAAAGGACGAGCAAGCGGAAGTAATCGCACCGAGCAGGGGAAAGACGCGGAGGCGAAGTCAATCAACCATGCCAACTCCGAAGGCAACGCTTTATAAGTCTTGCCTCGCGTGCTTGTCTCATAAGCACGAGATATACGGAAGTCTGTGCAGCGACAGTCGCAGCGTCTCGCCATTGGCGTATACCCGTATATCGCGGACTCCAACGATCGCTCACACCGGCGTGTGCCTCCTGTGTCTTCCTCGAGACATTGACCTATAGCTTACGGATGGCCTCCGGAAACCTCAGAGTTCACGCAAACAGCGCCCGATCCGCTGTCACAGGAGAGCCACGATTGCGCCCCGCCCCGGCCTTGATATCAAGAGTCGACGGAGCATCGCGTGAGCGATTCGATTTTGCGAGGCCGAGAGCAAACGCACAAACCTGTCTACGAAAGAGGCAAAGGGCGTCTCCCTCTCTTATCCATGGCCGTGAATTACTGAGAGGTCGAAGAGGAGAGACAAGACGGTGCCGCCGCCGCAGCGGCTCAGTTCAGGTCCTTCCAGGAAGTCCGACCGGACGCCGAAGAGTTGTAGGCCACCGAGACTGCCGGCGCAGCAAGCAGTCGTGCAGCGCACGACGGCGATCACGCTGCCGATGAGTGACGCCTGACCGTCTCCCACAAGCAGGCAACTGCCTTTCGAAGACGACGAGCCCTAGCTGATCAGCCGTGTGTTGGCAGGCGGTGATGCAATAGTTCGTGCATACAGGCGACCGAGCGATAACCGGGGCGCGTTCATTCATCAGTGCTTCGTGTCAAGAGGCTCACGTGGTCTAATGGGGCGCTGGCAAAAAAACCCGTTGCGTTATGCGTGTGTGTGTGTTTTTTTGTTACTAACACGCGTTGCGTATCCTGTGACGGGTGCACACCAGCTCGTTTGCAGAGATAAGCAAATATTGAAAGGGGAGAACAATAAAGGTGATGAAAAGAATACGAGATACAGCCACCTATTTATCGTGCTATAATTAACTTTATTATAGAGATTCATACATTGACCATAGAGACCACTCGAAATATATAGACCCTGGTTTTGAGGTTTTAATCTTTATCACACGATAACGTGAAAACGAGAAAGAGAAACGCGGAGCTGCGATATACCACCGCCTAATATTACTAAACATGTATCCCCCGATTCATTCATTATATGAGAAGCAAGTCGAAATGATGATGATGATGATGGTGGTGGTGATGATGATGATGATGATGATGATGATGATGATGATGATGATGATGATGATGACGATGTGTTCCTGATAGCCTTCGAGCACAAACAGGGGTCAGGCCAAAAGCAGGGTGGTAGGATAAATAAAGTAGAGAAAGAAGAAACTAAAGAAAGCAGGAGATATTCACTAAAAGTAAGGCATATAATACAGATAATGCTAAACAAGCAAGCAGTTAGAGAATACATGGGTTCACTCCGTTAAATCTGAACTTATTTCAAATTACGGTACTCTACGCAATTGGCGTATATGCCTGCCGGCTTGCAATCCTATCGGTAGCAACAACTAGCTGTACTTTTTGGGTAAAAGAAGAAACAACAAGAAACTAGGGGATGAAACAATTTTGAAGAACGCTAGCCTACCTCACTTGCCTTCTTCTTCACCATTCCTTCTCCATGATTCTTGTTTGGTGATGCAAACAGGTTTGTATAAAAGCATAGCTATCGACAATAAATACACGTGGAAACACAGCTCACATCCTTGAGAAAGCTGTGCCTACAGTGAATAATGCAACGATTCAATTCGAATTTAGTCGATCGCTTTGTCACTGTGTCGTATGAATACTTATCACTCTTATATGAATCCTTATTTTTATATGAATACTTCTATCAATCAATGTTTTTTTTATCAATGGAACAGGCCAGTTGTGAACGTTATAAATCAATACAATAGAGCGAAACTCATCCTTACAATCTACCGACCCTGTGCCCTGCAAAAAGAGCGCTCGTCCGAAGCTACGAGAGCTGCAAAAAGTGGCTAACTGTGCAGTGATGACATAATTTATTCGCATATATCTCAGCAGCAGGAGAGCTGGGATTTCGAGGCAAGATTAGCGAAGCACGAATACTCACTGCCATAATTCGGCAGAGTCATGCTTCTTTCTGACTAGCAGCCATTGCCTTATGTGTGCATGTGCTCTCGCTCTTGAAAACATTGACCAAGTCGTGTAGTGCGGAATATATAATCAGTGCGGAATATATAAGGACACCATGCAAAGTTTCACGCTAGTCGTACGTAATGCGTACGGAATTATTAAAGAACGGAGTACAACATGTCTTGTCACGGTGAAGAGCCCATTCTCCCCGCATGCTCTAATGCTCACGCTCATCCCCTGTATTTTAGTATAGAGGCTGATTTCCCAAACGTTGCGATTATTTTATTTTCATATTAGCTACCCAAATGAAGCTTATTCGTTTTGGCATTCGAAATTTCAGACACTCTCACGCCAACAAAAATCACAGCGTATCCACTGAGTGAATGATAATGAGTGGGGCGAAGCGTCCATCGGTCCGTCCGTCTGTCTCTCAGCCCATCCGTGAGTCTGCCTGTTTATGCGTCCGTACATCCACCCGTCCATCCATTCATCGGTCCGTGCACCCGTCCGTCCATCCGTCCGTCCGTCTGTCTGTTTGTCTATTTGTATGTCTGCCTGCCTGTTGTCTGATACTGCCGGTTACGCCTCACACAGGACAAGGAGCTTCGCCCCTAAAAACGCACGTTGACCATAGCAAGTTGAAGCCTTTTGAACACCGTTTTGATGGTCCAACCACCGTAGTGGGTGTGAGCCAAAACACAGGTACGAGCAAGCAAACGATCAAGCAAGAAGCTACCGGTGTAGGGAGGAGGAAGAGGATGACGAACACGTAGCTCGAGCGCTCCGGTGTCGAGGACGTGGCTCTTCCTTATAAAGACCAGCCATCCTACGGAGAACCTCAAGAGTGTCACAGGTGAGCCGGAAAGCTGTCCTAGATTGCATAGATGCCTCGATATTGTTCTTCGAAAGCGAAAGGTGCCTTACACAGGACGTCTGCTGTACGTAGTCGGGAGCTGGATTTCTTGTTGATAGACAGCAAAAAGCAATCTGGCGATGATTATATATAAATTGTTACAAATCAGACAAAAAGAACATGACACTATCACGACGCAGTGTCCTTGCCCGGAAGGCAAGGCAAAAGTTTACGTCTCCTTGATGACGGCGTGCAACGCGTTAGCAGGGAGTGCTGTAGTGTTCTCCTGAACATGGCTTGTATGCAAATGATTGAGTTTCATCGTCATTTATGTTTGCAAGAATAAAATTGTGCATGTTGTTTTTTTGCAGCGAGGCTTTCTTCCGGTATCGGTAGAGCAGCACCGAGAGTGAATGAGCTATTTAGAGAAAAAGAAAAAAAAACTGGGGTGAGCAATGTTCTGTTTTTAAACGCGTCGATCTATTACTTCTTCTTTCAGCAGGCATAAGTGTGCGCAGTTCTCCATTAAGGCGGCGGGGTGGTTTGGGGCGGGGAGGAGGATGTAACGCAGGACTCCCCCCCTCTTCCCATTGGTAGAGTTCGAAAGACAACATGCTTTACTAAGAATGAAAAACGAAAATGAAGCGATGAGGTGCTTCCAACAAAAGGCTTGGTTTTTGTTCCTGGTTTTCCAGCGGCAAAGTCAGCAAGTATCGTCTAAAACGTGAGTGGCAATAACCCTGTTCTTCAAATAGTTACGGGACGAATCCGGCTGAATAAAACAACTGGGGAGATTTCACACCCCCTTCAATGATTAGACCCCCATGCAACCAAGTTTGGGACACACGCTTCATTCGCCCGAAGCTCGTAGGTAGTGTACGGCCATCGTATGGCACTGCTACCCACCAGAAAGGCCTGCGGCCTTGTGCAGGTCCACCAGTGCACCGCATGTTTCGTCGCCTGTTCCGGTGGAAGAAAGTGAGCGCAGCCCGGCCGAGCTCGTGGCTCGACTGCGACGAGCGGGAGTGTCCCGTCCAGCAACTGGTGTCCCGGGAGGCCGGCAGTGCGCTCGCCTTGAATGAACTGGCACATGGCGAGTCACGTGAGAGGCCTATGCGCTTCTACTATGCGATAAACAGTTCATTAAATGAACTATGCGACGGGTGTGACATAATACTCAAGCCTAATAGGCACCGAGATCTCGAGTCTAGAATGTGTTAGACATATGTGTTTGACATGAATGTGGCTGAGTGTTTTTGACTTACAGTGCTATTTCACAATCGTCAGGAACTACTCTAGCTGCTGCGGCATAAACGAATGCCCACTTTAGTTATCGCCTCATTATTCGCTATCACTGGCCGAAATTCTTCGATGGGCTGTTGCGAAGTACTGGAGAGCGTATATTCATAGTAAACGAACAAGTATAATTTACGTGACCATGAACCAACGTTCTGGGAAAGGGGCTTCATTGTCAGGCCCTTCAACGGAGCAAGTCCTCTATAGTCGAAACCTTGATTCAAGACGCATGATTTCCTCGCTTGGCAACTGACATGCCAGGTTCACTCATTTTCCCTGTGCTAAACCACGAATTATAACGAGATTTTTTTCATGCTTGCATACCAGTCGCTTAAAACACGCAGTACACAAAAGATGAAATTTTTAAAATACTATATAACCACAACAGGTATGATTGATTGTCATTTCAATGGTTTAAATTACTATACCTGTACAAAGAGCAAAACTACCTTTGTTTCGACTTCGGTGTACTACTATGAAGTTATAAGAAAAGACAAGCTCGACCTGACTCGAGTGCACTTAATGTAGCTTCTTAAGTTTCAATCAATCAATCAATTAATCAATCAATCAATCAAATACAACTTTATTGCTCCATAATCCATTAAACATACATAGGGGCAGCTGCTGAAAGCTTGCGAAAGGCAGCTTGATCATTCAAAATGAGGTTATGTTAATATTCCCTGTACAGGCACGCTGGAACAGTTTCGGTCACTTGTCTTAATATTTTCCAACAGAATCACCTTACGGATAGCCGCACAAACAAATCTCTGCACGAGAAGCCGGCTTCACTAATAATGTCCCATGCGCGTGATTAAAGAATCGTTTGGCAGGTGTGCACCGCTAAGACGGTGAAACAGTTTTGTGTACTTGTCCCGGACGGTATACGGGCCACGTTACTCTGTCATTGATTACACACCATATCATGTCCCGGCGCTCTTTCGCCATTACTGGCCCATGCATCATTAACCACTATGTATCGTCATGATCCTGCCTCTGTCGGCGCGCAGTCATCGGGCGGGGACACCGGTGCTCAACGGCTCGCGTGGACGATTACGAGGGCGTCTCTTGGCTGGGGCGACTGGAATGGCCCGAGTGGCCGATGCAGGAGCAAAGCTTCGAGAACCGGGAGGAGGACCTCTCCATTGCCTCGTGCGTTGAGTCGCTCTGGAGCCGACGATGTGTCCGAGACGGCCGCGGCGCAACAGGGTCACTGCCATCAGAAGAAGGCCTCGTGGAGCGTGCCGGCCTCCAGGACTGGTATTCGCTCCGAAAAGATGATTTTGAACGCAACGCGGTCATGGCCAAGCTTGGTCTCCAGGTGAGGGGCACAATGCCAGATATGCGTGGACAGATAAACGCCTTGGGGGCACTGTGCATGCCCTTTTGATAACTCCCAACACAGAGTGCGCCTAGGTGGTATAGTCACGCGGGCTCAGACGCTGA